GTAGTTTAAGGGCCTTTTTTTTTTTTTTTCCCGCTCCCTCCCCCAGATTGCACTATTTCATGCCAGGCTTCCCTACGGGGTAGGTGGCTTAGCGGCTGGTGCTTTGAATATATTTGCATGCAGTGCTTTAAATGCCATGCATTTCTGTACCTCTCCTCCGGGGAGGAGCAATTTCCAGTAGCATCTTGCTCTGGGTGATGGTTTCATGCTGAGCATCGAGCACAAGCCACAGGGCTGGGGGATGGATGGGAGCAGAGCATCTTCCTGGCTGATGCATTTCCAGCAGGAGCAATATCCCTCTTTTCTGCCTTATTAGATAAAACTAGGAGACCTCTCCTGGGCTCTTCTCATAAGGCATTCTGAAAAATTTTTAGGCTCTAGAGCAGCACATCTAGGCATCGCGGTACTCCAGGATATGCTTAAGCAACCCGCTAGGAATTAGGGAGCAAGAGGTCCCTAAGGTTGCGCAAGGTATTCATCACAGCCACTGCGAAATCCTCTGTTGGAGACCTTTTTTGAAAGTGCCAGAAAAATCCGTCACTGTGCCCTCAAGCTATGTAGTAACAAGGATCTGGCCTTAATTTCTGAACAGTTTCCACATGCTGTGCCTTTGAAGAAAGCCCATCCGGCCCCAAGGAAACAGCCCTTCCCCATGGGATCAGTGGAGGATCCCTATCCCCGGGTATGCCCCGACTTGCCTGGACCACAGCCCTGCCTGCTGCAGCTGTGGTGTTGGTCTTGCTGGAAGTGGGGTCTGCTGGAGAGTAACCTGCCAGCTTGGGTTACTCTGCAAGTCTCTGCTCCTGATTCAGGAGGAGCATCAGAGGCCAGGGCTGGACAGCGCTGCATGCTCAGGGCTTGGACTCACGTGCGGATGGCCTGACGCACCACCCAGATCTGGTTTTGTACAGTCACTCTTAGAAGTTAGGTCCCTCTTACTAATTACCAGCCCAGAGTCATTCACAGCTAATTTATCAGCCTTGGTGCTCCAGAGTTTTCCTCCATCTGTTGGGGTTCCCTGGGATGGAAACAGACATCACCCCTCTCTTTGTTCAGAGGTATAAAACCCAACACAACCAGTCCCAAGCACATAAAAACAGGCTTTCCAGCCCCCAATTTTCCAAGCACCTCTTCTCTCCCCACTTCTCTCCTACCTCCCTTGGTCTGAGGCCATCTAAGCACCTTTTTGTCCAGGGCATTTCCCCACCTCCGTCACCCAAGGGTCCATATCCATCAGTGCATACAGACTATTTCCAGGATACAGGTCACAGTGGGAGGTTTTATTTCTGAAACTGGTGGGAGTTCCACCCTTTCCCCTTATTCCAGGTGTCAGCCCCAGTCCTTGCAACGGTGCCGGTGTGCTGGCCTACTTTTTTTTTTTTTTTCTTTTTTTTTTTCAATCATTAAAGGTAAGGGAGGAGAGCTGCTGTCACAGGACCTGGGGAAACATGGTTACTTTCTCTCCTTCTTTGTTCCCTGGGCCATTAATCAATTAGCAAATCCCCCCTCACTGGGGGAAAACTCCCCTTCCATGTCTGCTGTTGGAAAGTGTGAATGACTCTGGTAAATTAAGGCAGTATTTTTACCACTATAACCCCTGCCCCCCCCAAAAAAACCCCAAACCAAACAAAAAAAACAAAAAACCACCACACTTAATAGAAATAATTATTCTGAAATTCAATAATTTTCAAGGGTTTGACCCTTAGATGCCTTGCTGTTAGTAATGATCAGTATGCTAAAAAGAAAATAAAAAAAAAAAAGGGAGAGGTTGCATTTTGTTCAGGTGTTCATATTGAAATTCCGACCTTCAGAGGTGCAAGCTGTCCAGGTGCATTTCTTATTTCATCCTCATTTTTTGACCAAATTTTTAACAATACTACCACGTTATCACGGTCACAGAATCAAGAACCCCACACCACCAGAAAAAGAAGGTTCTGCTAGTATCTTAAATCAGAGCATCGTTTCATTTGATTTTCCTTTCTCCATTGAACGCTCTTATTTATTTCAGGTTTCTGTTAAAACTCCAAGGTAAGAAAAGATACTTTTATGCCTAGCAAACCCCATATCACCAAGAAACAAACTTAGGATAATGCTGCTTCACCTCTCCATGACTCCTTCTATACTTCTGCAGTCAGAATTTATGGCTTTGCTCCAGCCAGCCAGGAGCAAGGTGAACCCCAAAAAATGTTAATTTAACTTGACTTTTGGGTTATTTGCTTGGAAAAGGAGGAATCAGTTTCCCCATTCAAGGGATGTTTCCCATGCTGCGGTTTTTGCTGAGCGGAGGGAAGGTGGGATTCACAACCAGACCCTGTTCTCTTCCCCCACCGCTTTTGCACCCCGAGCCTGCCCCTTCACAACCAATTCGGGGAAATCTGGTTACTGTTTTCCGCGAATGAGATA